TATTGAAATGTATAAGCACATGCTTCAGAAGAATCATGTTGTTTACGTCTCAAATTGAGAAGTCAAACAAATAAACCCGCTTTATGGAAATATACATGAGTCAATTGAGTTAACATTGACTAAGAACATTTCTATCAAAGAGTCAAAATCAGAGTTTCAATTTGATAAGATATTGAACTATTTTGTCTCAATCAAAGAGGCAATTTCCAACAAGGATACAAGGAATATAAGTAAGTATTTGTAAAAACCTTTTTATTTTTAATTTAAAAATTATAAATAAATTTTAAACTTGTTATAAATTTATGTGTAGATGTTCTTGTAATAATAGCAAATGTCAAGCCTATGATCAAGTACATTACAAGATATAATAAGGCGGACACAAGGCGGGACATCATTATAGTAGACAAATAGTATACACACATGCTTTTATTTCACAATAAATTAATTATTTAAAATATAATATATTAACAAAAAATTGTCTAACTTTTCTTACACAGTGAGATAACATTGTCTGTAACTTTATTCCGAGATTTAGCTAACAATGAAGGTTCAATTATTGAAGGCAATATCAATGAGACAACTATAATAGTACTATCAAATTTTAAAATATCATTGTACAAAGGTAACCTTTTTTATTATTGAATTGTAAATTATTTATCAATAAATATCAAATTCTAATTATAACTATTATATATGTAGGGGAGATATGCATGACTTTGCAAATTGCATCAACAATATGTATCAACCCTGAAATACAGCTTGCTAAGGACATGCAAGAATGGTAATTCAAATAAAAAAGGTAACTTAATAAATTTAAATTTTAAAATTTTTAAAATTATATGCAGGGCTCATTCAAAAGCCGATATCAAGACTAATGGAGCTTCATCAAGGCTATTTAAAAATACAGCAAAAATGAATATTGTTGACATTATGCAAGCTTTACAAAAATCATCAAAGGTATGATATTAAAAATCCTACTATAAAATATTAATGAATCAAGAGCTTCAATTTTAAAACAAGCTGATATAAATAGATCTTGTTTCATTGGTAAGATATAAAGTAAACATGAATTTTTTAATTATATTCCCTAAAAAAGATTTATTTTCTAATCATATATTTTTCATATATTTATAAGTTATCCTAAATATGTTTCAAATACATTTACAATTATTACTTTTACATTAATTTTAAAAAAAAATTGACTATCTTTTTTTTCAATTATTTTATAATTTCTTATTTTATTTACTAAATATATATAAACTACGATTATAACTAACTAAATTTTTACAACTCTACAGGCACAATATGGCAGCTTTACGGGAAAAATAATTAACATCTTAAATAGGCATGAGGCTTGGTACTACTCTTGCAAAGGCTGCAATAAAAAAGTAGAAAAAACTATTTATGACAAATGTCAAAATTTTTAAAAAAACAATGAAGACAGTATACTGAGGTAAAGTACTATCAATTACTCATGAAAGAAAAATATAAAGATTAAATATAAAAATATCATCTGATGCACAATGATAATACAAAATGTAAGTATGTAGTTAAAATCATAGTTGAAGATGAGACAGATAGTGCAAGAGTGATACTTTTTGACGCAATAGAAACTTTGATAGGATGCAATGCTCAAAAATTCATGGATGATATAAAAGAGGTAACTTCTTACTTTATTATATTTTATACATATAAAAAAATATGTTTCATGTATAAGATCTTAATTTTTTCCTCATTAAAACAGAAAAATAATCAGAGTAAATTATTCCAAAAGTTTTTTCTCAACATCGGAAAGACATACAAGTTCTTTGTAAAGTTGGATGAGAACTCAAAGGATGAACGTGCATAAGGAAAGATAATAGCACAAAAAATCCAAATCCAAGAAGGCGTCACAATCAACATTGATGACGATGATTCTGTTCTCGATTTACCAAAAAAGAAGATAAATGTGGAGAAGGATTGATCAAGGGCCCACAAAAATTAAACATGAACAATTTTTAATTTTCATTACATTTACAAATTGGTTGAAGGATTTCGAATAAACTTTTCATATGCTTTTAAGATTATGAACTGGTGAATTTAATTTGTTAGGACAATTTATGATTTATAAACATATGCACATATAGTTGTTTGATAACTATTGCATGTTTTGATTGTTATTGCAGTTATTAGCTTAAATTTAACATTCAATTGTGTGAATTTAAATGCATATTCAGAGAATAGTTCACTTTATTACTTTAAATTTGCATGTGAACTATTTTTTACTTATCTATACTGCACACAAACTATTGTTGATGAGTCCTTTGCAAGAAATCTGATGACCAAGCACAGCTTCCTAAACCTGTTGAGAGGAAACAATTGCTTTCTACAGAGAGGGTAGCTAATTTTGCAAAATTGTTACTCTAATTTATTTCTTTTAGTAGTCCAAATTCATTTGTTTCTGTTTTATGACATGGACATGTTCTCAGTGTTCTTAACAGGATAATCAATGAAGATTAGATAATCGTCCGGATTGGATGATATTACAACTTCTTCCTATTCAGCCACCTACTGTAAGACCATCTGTTATGATGGACAGCTCTACTAGAAGTGAGGTAAGTTTGCTCTATTTCACAAAATAATGGATAATCTGTATAGCGTTACGAAACCATTGCATCATATTTCTTTTTCCTTTTTAATACAATTGATAAAATGAAAACCTTACAGGACTGATTATTACTTACTATGTAGACTTCTCTTTCTGACCCTTTGTTTCTCATTAAATTATTTATTTGATTGGTATAATATATATACTTATTTATTTATTTTATTTTTTCCCCCAACTCTCTTTAATTTATTTGTTTCATCATACTTTGTTTAGGGTTTCAATATTCAAAGGGCAGCAGGAGCAAGATTAGAAAGTAAGTTTAATCTTAATCTTTCTATTTCTCAGTTAGATCAGTTCTTTTTAAATTACTACTGCACTTTTCTACTCTTATTGAATGATTATAACACAAATCATAAAGTTCTACATACTGGATCATCGACCATAATGTGAAAAAAAACCAGTATAATCTGTCCAGATACATAAGTTTTTAGAGAATGAAGATATCCCAGGTTGATATACTTTGAGTTTGGTTCAATAATAACATTTTGTATAGAAGTAATCAGTCTAGAAATTGTAGCTTGAACAATATATGACCTATTTAGTGGGTTTGTGCTCTCATATTGATGTGCTGACAATTAAGATTAGGATATATCATGCTCAATGATAGATGATATAAATATCATTTGCCTATATCATCAATAGCAACAATGTCTTGGTTATTTATTTTAGATTTAGATTTGCCAAGTTGTAAATGAAAGTTTTCTGTTGGTGTTGGAGTTGTCAAGGATGGTGAAGAATCATGAAAGTATAAATAATAGGTGCACTAGATTCATTACTATATGTAGATAATTGGTGTTTGATATAACTTTCTATGCGTTCAGTGAATGCAGACCCAACAACATCACCATATGAGTCTACAATTTAAATGACCTTTGATGTCCATGTATTGTTCTGATATTTATAGACATACAATAGCGATATATCGACTGATTTTAATACATTGCCTATAAGAAACTTTGGTTGGTTTGATTGTTAAAAGGTCAAAATTTTTTTAATGGGTGTAGATATCTGAATTAAGATTCGAGTCTTTTGGTGTTGTGATCAAGTATCTAAGAAGTTTTGATACTAATGCTTGGTGTAGGAGTAGAGTTAGAGATAGTTGCAAGTCTAATTGGTGTTTGTGGTAAGAGCTTGTGTATCGGGCGAAACTTATTAATGGTGGGATGTATGATTTTGGCTCTTTGGCTAGGATACTTGTCTGGTGACTAGAAGTTCAGATTAAACAATAATTTTCAAGTATTATGTCATTCTTTCAAGGTTAATGTATGTGACTATAGCGGTGTTTAGTGTCTGCCCCTTTATTTAGACTACTTGGTCTGTGGAAACACTATTAGTTTTCTTTGTCTGTTATCCAAATTTGAAGGTGTAATGAAATCTAATGCACCTAAAAGAACATCATTATATATTCAATTTGCAAGCAATGTAGAGGCAAGGATACCGACTGTTTGCTTTGCATAAAAGTAGTTATTGTAATGGTGTTCAAGCTCAATAAGGGAAAATATAACATGAATTTTCATGTGAACAATAATTGGGAGTTGGCTACACACACATACACACACGCATGCACGCATAAACCAGTCTGAAGTATGTAATATCTTCAAAGATGCAAATCTTTTTTGCGTTAGCTATATATGCTTGCTGACATCCTTATTGTTATGTTTTTAGGATGAAAAACTCCAAGATGTATTACGGCACTTTCAAAAATACTTTGAAGGTGGAGTCTCTGCCGAGAACTTGGGTAAGCCAGGATAAACACTATTGCCAGCAGAAGGTCACTAAATACCCAAATGTGGTAATGTAGTCCTAGATGTGGGTTTGAATTTTTTTTTTAAATTATAGGAGCAAGGTTTGGAGGATATGGTTCCTTCTTGCCTACCCACCAGCATTCTCCTTCGATTCTCACTTAATCCAAGAGTCCACTGGCAACCCCAGATCATACTGTCTTCAAATCTCCCTAAAATTCATCGGTTGAGGTACCTTCCAATGTTAGACCAGTTAATGTCAGCAATACAAAGTCACTAAAGTCTTATGATTTGTTATCTATTAAATGCCTCTGCATCCTTAGTTCAATGTTTGATTTATCATCATGTTTCTTTAAAGAACAAATGTCAAAGTCAGGTATATCAACATCAACAATGCACATGGAAACAAGCCATATAGATCTCGATGATTTGAAGGTATGTATATTATTGATGAGTTTGTCAAGTTGAATTCAAACATGTTTATCCTAACTATTTCATTCATGTTTTGCAATGTCTCTAGGTTTAATGTACACCTGATCTAACTTGTTATCCTTGTGTTTATATTGTTGCAGGTTGGCTTGTTGCATGATGAGGTAGCATTACAAAATGTTCTAAACATGACTGCTGACGGGACAAAATAAGAAAGGGAGATGTTGAGGAGAAAGGTTTAAAGTTTTATTTAAACATATTGCTTGATATTAAGTTTTATTTAAACATATTGCTTGATATTGCACACAGCTTACTACTGTCTGATTTATGTGGGCGCCTTTATATTTGAAATATTTGTGCTATATGCGTTGAATGTCTTCAGTTATTGAGAAATTGATCATTAGAGTCTCAACAGGTACCAATGATTGGCTTAAAGACGCCATTTCGGGATGGCTTGTTAAGACATGTTGCTGAAGATGTTCTAAAGCTGGCTAAGGTTGATCAACTGACATTTCCAATTGCTTGCTATTTGCCCATAATTAAATTTCAAAGTGTGACTTTTAAATGTTTTAAACTATTTTTCAGGATGGCTTGGAAAGAAAAAGTTACAAAGAATCTGGATTTCTGAGAGAAGTGGCTGAGGTGGTTAATTCAGGTAAGAATAGTTACCAATTTTGTTGTCTGGATGACTTAAATGTGATTTTTATGAGTCAATGGGTGCCAGATTAGCCATGGCCCCTAGAGACATTGCATTCAAGGTAAAACTTCTCCCTTCACACTATGCAAGTATTTGTTCTTGTTGTTATTGATATACTCAATTACTCATTACGATCGCACAATTTATTTTCTTTTGAGAAAAACACATGACAAGTTAAACAATGTAATGAAGATATGATGATTTTTTATTGGATTATTGCTTTCATACAGTGATAATTTCATCTGGGCAGCACTCATTTCTCTCATTTATGAAGATTTACTTTAGCGTGTCACCCATAATAGTGTTTGATCTCTTTTATGAAGTTTCCTCTAGAGAGGTGTCGTTTACAAAAATGACTGGAAACCTAAATCTGAGCAATCATATAATGGGATTTTGGAATGCTTGCTGACCAGATTCATTTATGTGTGATTTGCTCAAGTTTTAGGTTCAATGATTCTTTTCATACAAGTGGAATTATATCTTCTTGTTTATAGTTATGCATTTTTCTTATATTCTATGCCAGCATATGGAATTTATTTGTTAGCAGACTGATTTGCTATATGGTGAGGTTTTTGCATATGTTTCTTATGTTTTACTTACATTTTAGTTTGTTATGGTTAAGCCAGGAAAACAGCAGGGATAATGTTAATCTATTTGTTCTGTGAACTTAAGACTCAAGAGTTTGGGTTGTATAAGCTTGTAGGCATATAACTTATATGTCATCAGAACAAGTACTTTGAGCCCAACCAATCACGACTGGAAATCATGTGAAGAAGCTAGAACTGAGTCTGAAAAAAACTATAAGACGTCAGCTCAATGCTTGCTCCAACAGGGTTGAACTGATTTCACCAGGCTTCTCTCAGTTAGCAGGTCCTAATTGGTTTACACACACACATGCACGCAGACAGACACAATTGCACAAAGAAAATCGAAGTAAACATCCATACAAGCTAATGGAAGGTGGTTAATTCAAGTAAGAACAGTTACCAATTTTGTTGTCTGGATGACTTAAATGTGATTTTTATGAGTCAATGGGTGTTGGATTGGTCATGGCCCCTAGAGACATTGCATTCAAGGTAAAACTTCTTCCTTCACGCTATGCAAGTATTTGTTCTTACTGTTATTGATATACTCAATTACTCGTCACGATAGCACCATTTATTTTCTTTTGAGAAAAACACACGACAATTTAAACAATGTAATGAAGATATGATGATTTTTTATTGAATTATTGCTTTAATAAAGTGAAATTTTCATCTAGGAAGCACTCATTTATCTCATTTACGAAGATTTAGTTTGGCGTGTTACCCATAATAGTGTTTGATCTTTTTAATGAAGTTTCCTCTAGAGAGGTGTTTTTTACAAAAATGACAGGGAACCTAAATCTCAGCAATCATATAATGGGATTTTGGAATGCTTGCTGACCAGGTAGAATCTAATAACATCATAGATTGCAACAATGACTGAAAGAAATTCATTTTTTTGGTTGTCTATTAAAGTCCTCAAGAGTACTATTTATTCCAATACTTTCTAACATAAGGTTTACAGGTTTTGGCACATTGCTTTCTCTATAATAAGCTAAAAGTTACTTTAGGGAATGCATTCTTAAGTGTGTGATTTGCTCAAGTTTTAGGTTCAATGATTCTTTTCATACAAGTGGAATTATATCTCCTTGTTCATAGTTATGCATTTTTCTTATATTCTATGCCAGCATATGGAATTTATTTGTTGGCAGACTGATTTGATATATGGTGAGGTTTTTGCATATGTTTCTTGTGTTTTACTTACATCTTAGTTTGTTATGGTTAAGCTAGGAGAACTCAAACTAGGACAGTTACTGGACTCACCTCCCTCAGGACTAGATGAAGCAATTACAATCTCAAAGGTATGATATTTTAGTCAAGCTGTTAAACAGAGATTGTTTTGTTTATTTTAATTTATTTTATTTTAATTTTTTGGCAGAAACTTGAGTTTCTTATGTCTATCAGATTTTTTCTAGGTGATGTAATTTGTTGAATCACAAGAATACAATATTTTTAGTCGTATAGTATGCGTTTGGATCTGCACCATCCTGGCTCTTATGGATAAGGTACTTTTTTGCTGCATTTGACATAATCCTACTTGTTTACATGTGTTCATGTAATTTAAATGTGAGTATATAATTTCAGATACAGCACCTTTTTGATCTTATACCCTCCTGGCATCACAAGCGAGGACAGCATGATATTTATAGCTCTAGCCTACATCAAGGTACCAAAAATGTTTCATTTTAGATTGGGTTTCATCTATTCGCTATCATGAGGGAATGACTTCATCCTTTGGTTTTTGTTAATGACAGGCCTCTGAAAATTCTTCATTAGGATACCAAACAAGTGGAACTTCTCTTTCGATTATTTCTATGCAGCTATCATTGCTCTTGGAAATTTTCGATTATTTCTATGCAGCTATCATTGCTCTTGGAAATTATGTGCCAAGTATGTATCTGATATTTTCAAAATCTGTGTCGATATTTATCACAAAAAAATCTTGGAAATTATGTGCCAAGTATGTATCTGATATTTTCAAAATCTGTGTCGATATTTATCACAAAAAAATTGTTACTTCCTCTTTGGTCACTGCTAAACTTCTTTTATTGGAACACATCTTGCCATAGGGAGCCCACACATGTATACTTACATGCTAGGGTAGCGAAAGAAGAATCTTTCAAAGGCAAAAATGGAATGAAATGTGATGAAAGTAGGAATAGTAAATATTTTTTTTTGTATTATTTGAAGAATGCATAGCTGTTAGATGGTGGCTCTGCATGAGTGGTTGTATTGGTGTTCTCTAATCCCTAAGATTGTCTTCTTGTTGGCAGGGAGTGCTCTTGGTATAGTTGTGAATGTATTCCTCTGAAAAAACATATTGCCAATGTTTTATGATTTATTGATTAAATCTGTTTGCTTTCAACTGGGTGCTCATCTAAAAATGCATTATTTTATAAAACATAATAATAGTGAACTTATTTGCATTTCTTGTTTGGTTATGTTCACCATCTAAAACCTACTATAATACTTCTACAGACATTTGTTTAAAACCTACAGGGGTTTCTACTTTCAGGATTCTATAATACTTCTACAGACATTTGTTTAAAACCTACAGGGGTTTCTACTTTCAGGATTATTAAGGGTTCATGTTTGTTTTCCTCCTTCAATTATGTCGAAACCTACAGGGGTTTCTACTTTCAGGATTATTAAGGGTTCATGTTTGTTTTCCTCCTTCAATTATGTCGATTTTTTGACTGAAGCAATTTCAGAAAATGATCATTTATTAGCTTAATTGGAGGAAGATTTCCAACAATTTTTACCAAACTGAATTTAATTTGAGGTAATAATTATGTAATTTCTAGGATAATCTATAACAAAATCCATTATGACGTTCTTCTTTCTTGACGAGAAGAATCATTTGTGCTTAGTCTATTGTGTTTTTGTAAAGGTCATGTGCCTTTGTTTTACTTTGGTAACTTAAATGCAATGTCTCTTAGGACATAGGACTTCAAAGATGACTCTACAAAGTTGAGTTACGCTTAATTGGCCTCTTAAGGTACAAATTTATTCAGCATTTTTGCTGCAGAATCTTTAGAGTACAAAAATGAGTCGATCATCACAAATCCTGTAAACAATGAAGATTCATGTGTTATAGATTATCCTGCACACACGACGATGATGAAAACTTAAAGTCCATAGATCTTGATTCTTGCCCTCTTTGCCAAGGGCAGGTCAAAAGATGGACAGAGGTAAAACCCCCGAGATAATTCCTTAACAAGAAGGGAGAACAAGTGGTTGAAAACTTTCATTTAGGTGATAAATAAGAGCAAACAAGTGGTTGCTTAGCAAAGCCTTCTTGTTGTTGTGCCTTGGGAGAAGGCATAAATGTAGGCAGCTTACTAAAAAAACTCGGGCAGCAATTGACTAAAAAAAGCTTTGGTGATTCAATAGTTCTATATGTCATTGTTTTTAGCTTGTGATAAGACGGCTTCAGTGGATCTATGACAGCTGAATTTCATTCTAATAAGAAACTTATTAGGGGTCAATCTGAGAGTGATATCTACAGAAGAATTATCAATTAAAGATGATCCATATTTGTAAAGACAAATAATATTATTTTTAATTATACTATCATGGTTATCCTCATTTGGTGTATCTCTACTGCTTCATGCATGACTATTAATTGTTTTATGGAGATAGAAATAAGTAAGACTAAAAAAATTTTGATGCTACTATTTTAGTAACATTTATATTAGATGATTATGATTAAATAGGTTGTCTGATGTCAACTATATATAGGTAGAATTGGTTGATTGAAAATCAATGGTGTATATCAAATAAAATTCTTTTATAAAATTATTCATTGTTTTCTATTGATAAGTATGCAAATAATCTATTATCACCCAGTTCATACATAATGTAATTTCATTATTCAATCCTTTTTAATTTTTAAATTCTATCCATATGTTTGAAACATGGATTAAATTAAATAAACCATAATGAAATGAATCAATAATAAAATAATAAATTTAAAAATTTACCACGTGCATTGCACATGCAATCCAACTAGTACTATTATAAAAGTGGGTTGTCATGTTAGAACATTTCTTTCCAAATTACCCTCCAAAACACATGCATACATAAATAAAACACATACATACATCCTCTAAAATACATGCATACTTACGTACAACACATATATACATGAACATACATGCATACTTAAATAAAAAATAAGTATTTTTAATAGTTATCTTATTAATAGTTTTCTTAATTAAATACCTTTATTCTCTACATTTAATATCTTAAATGACCTCCTCAATCCACTCTCTCCACTATTTCACAAGTCTTTTCAAGTCATACTATTACTGTTACTTTTATATATGAAAAGAAAATTGTAACATTTATTTTCACATGAAAGTAGGATTTGAAGAGGGATTCATCAATAGTATAGTTGATAACCTCAAGAAAAACTCAGTAATCCAATTAATGATAAAAAAAACTCCTCCAACAACGTCTGTTTCATTTAAGGGCTATATAACCCCTCTCCATCCCCCAACACTTACAGCAAGGCTCACTCAAGATTACCAACTAAAATGAGTAAGTAATTTTCTTCTCTTCCTCCTTGCTATTCATTCTCCTTGATCTGACAATGCAAATAGGAAATTAGAAGTGAAACTGTTTTTATAGTTACTAACTAAATTTATTAAGTAGCTTTCCTTAGCGGCCAAACTTGACAGTAGTGGTGGAGGCTTTGGCGAAGGTGGTGTCGATGGAAGAATAGATGGAAGGTCTTGGTTCGATGGTGGCGCCGGAGGTAATGTTTGAAGGAGACAGAGAAGATGAGTTAGGAGAAACATCAGTGGAGCGGGCAATGGAGATAGGGTCTGTTATGGGGGCAATGGAGGTGGTGGTGGTCGAGGGGGAATGGTCATTGCCGGTGCCCATCATATGGTCGTGCATGTATGAATGTATGAATATTATCCAATTTAAGGTTAAATATGATGTGTGTTTGTTTGTTGTTGTATTGATAGAAAGTTGCTCAATTATTGGGTTGCAATTAAACAAATATTGTGATTGTTTTGTTTTGTTTTTTCATGTATGGTTAATTTGGTAAGCATCCAATGTTAAGTTGGGTGGACATTGACATATAAGCGCTCTTGTGGATTTGTATTGCATCAATTCAATGGATTGTTTAATAGTAAATATAAAATAAATAAATTATTAGGACTATTAATATATTTGTTAATATTTTAAATTTTAATTTTCTTATTAGAAAATAGTATTAAATAGTTTACAAATACAAATTAAAAATTGCAAAAATAATAGACTTTTTCCGACATTAGTTCCTTAAATCTTTGATATTCTGAAATTAATCCCTCAAATTCATTAAATTTTTGATATTCTGAAGTACCTTAAATCAGAAAATTAATATCAAGTTCCTCCCCTAAGCTATTTTGAATTAGTCCCTCAAAGTATTGAAATATTGCTATTATGCTCCTCAATTAATAAGTTAATTTGAAATTAGGAACAAGTGGCCAAGCTCCTTTGAGAGTTTGTAATAAACTTGAGATTTCATTAATTTTAATTTAACTTTCACCGTACACTTTCTGTATATTTCATCTCTCTATTGTTATATTATTTATATATCAGTACTATATTATTAGAACAAGAACTAATTTTGTTCCTACTCCCTATTAATATTAATTAAATTATTAATTAATGTTAAATTTAAGATTAGTTATCAATTAGAAATAAATTGAATAGTTAGGGGTATAATAGGACTTGAGTTAAGTACTAATTAAAATAGTACATTTCTATTATTTAAAATTATATTTATTTTACAAATATGTGTAACATTTAATATATCACTATAAATTTAAAAATTGGAACATAAAACAAATATAAATGCCTACGTGCAATGCACGTGCACTATACTAGTTCATCTAAATGTGTGGTGCATGGATAACATGAAATTATATTAACTCAACAAAGTATTTTGATTCGATCAGAATGTCAAAAAAAGAATAAATAGATAGAAAGATAGGATAAAATTATAATTAAGCAAGTTGAAAGGGGTAAAATGGGCATGCAAAGGTTTTAACATTAGTATAGATCTTAGAAGTAGTATAGATTTATTTAATTAATACCATTCATGAGATCCGTAAAAACTAAAAAGATTATTGATCAATTATAGACTTTCTCTACCATCTAGCATCAAAAAGAGTTACTCTGCTGATGTACTTAAGGATATTGAGAAAAACTCACAGTTCTCGCGAAATAGTTATGTATAGGGGAATGAGGAAGTAATAATATAAAGGAGTTTTTATTTTCAGACCAAAAAGTCTTACCTTGGTTGATTTCTAAACCCAAATAGATTTATTTGCATGTATACCCCTTCAATCATGGGTATTTATAAAAATACTCTCAAATATCAGTATTTGTAAAACTAACCCTCAAATAATTAGCTTTGTGAAAAAATACCACTAAAATTAACAAAGCATCAACTTTGTTCTAAAATTTTAACTATATTGTTGATAATTTTTAATTGTGATAATAAATTAGCTTATCAAAATTGATGGTTAATTGCTTTAAGGGTAATTTTTCAAAATCGATGATTCGAGGGGTAGTTTTGCAGATACTTAGATTGTGGAGGGTGTTTTTTAACACAGCTATGATTTAAGGGGTATGTATGCAAATAACCCTAAAAAATACTACCAAAATAACTAAAAAAAAAGATGCTTCACATAATAAAAGAAAGGGAATGTTTAACTTTTAATTACTTGATATATTACATAATACCCCTAAAGTTAAAGTCAACTAGATAAAATCAAAGAAATGAGGGGGAAGGAGCAATTTCAACAAAAAATTAGCAAAACCATTTGTAATAACCCATGGCAGCGACGTGATTAACCGTGGGACGAAAAAGATCAGATATCAACGAAAATAGTAATATAAAAGTAGGAAATAAACGGCAAGGAATCGAAAAAACTACGCGTATTTATATGAGCAAAAAGTGGAGACCGACACGGTAAAAAGAGCGTAAGAATATACGCGTAGGATATACGCGTGTAATATATACGCTTTAAAAATAGCGTGTAAGATATACGCGTGAAATAAACGCTGTATTTTGCCGTGTCGCGTAAATATAACGCCCACTGAAAAAAATCATTTTCCGCTTATAATTAGCTCTTCGGTAGCTGAGATGAGATCGATATTCTTTCTGTTTGCGGTGAAGTTCGGTCCATTTTTCTCTGCTGCGGGGATTTCCCTAGGGTTTTGGTAGAAAGCCCTAACTGCTGAAATTAGCTAGATTGAATTACTTTATCTCGGGTTTAGTTCGATCCTTCAATCTCTGCAGGTAAAAGCACTAATTCCAATTTCTGTGCCCTTTTTTTTGGTTCTAAGGACTTTGGAATTGTTTCGGTTGACGTTGTTCTCCTTTTCTTTTTATTTTATTCAGCGGAGAAGTTAGGATGCGGAGAAGATTGAAGAGGAGAAGCTCACTCAAGAGTCGATTCCTATCTTAGGTACCCTCATGGTCCGAAAACTAGGGTTTTCTCTAATTGACTGCAAAATTTTAGATTTTGATTGATGTTCTGTCGAATTTTAGATATTTGTCCTGGTAAATGAATGCCCTTCATGATTACTTGACTGCAAAAGACTGTGAGTTCTCTTCCTAATGGCTCCTCTTTCATGCAAGTCAGAAAATGAGGATGGTGGTAAGAGTTTAAGCGACTGTCTGATTTTTTTGTGTGACGAAATGCTTAATTTGGTCCATTTTTACATGATGATGGACATAACATATATGGTGAATTCTAGAGTTATGCACGGTATGCGCATTCAACTAATAACGCATGTCGTCACATCACATGATTTCGTAATAGAGTTGAGCATACTACATAGTTTTTGGTAAAAGGTTTTGATGTAGTACTGTTTAATTTTCTTTTTTCCACTTTAAATTAGGCACCTAATTGTAGCTTTTGTCATGGTTTTGGTACAACTGTTTAATTTTCTTTTTTCCACTTTAAATTAGGCACCTAATTGTAGCTTTTGTCATGGTTTTGGTACAGTGAGGTCGTACTCTTGGAGTATACACTCATTAGGCACCTAATTGTAGCTTTTGTCATGGTTTTGGTACAGTGAGGTCGTACTCTTGGAGTATACACTCGTTGGATATTCCACCCTCACTTGTTGATGGCAGTTCCATGTCATCATCTCACATCAGCATCACTTACATCTCAATTAAATTAGTGTATCTATATACGATGACAAGAACGGCACAAGGAAGGACGAGATCACTGCATTCAGAGGGCACACATTGGCGGCGGCACAAATGTGTTCAGGCTTTCTATGAGAGATTGAAAGAGATTGTTTTAACTTTTCCTCCAACCCTAGGAATGTTTGTTTATAGTTGTTTAACTGAAAATATTTTCTTGCTTCTTTGTTTAGATTGACGAGTATTGTCGGCAACATCCTTCTGCACAAGTTGTAGATGTGATCGAGAAGTTTAGTGGATGTCTAAGGAAAAGTTAGTTGTTAAATTTAGTGGTGAGGTATGCAAACTCTATAATACTACTAAAGAAAATTATTACAATGTTGCAAAAATTTGTTGTATACAAAATTGAATGTTGCATTAACTTGTTGTAAACTATTACTATGTATGAAAATCTTTTTGTAGTTTTTAAAATTGAATGTTGCATTAAATGGTTATAAATTGGTAGTTATGTGTGCATAGGAGAATAATAGAGACAATATTACACAGAAAAAGTCTAACAGCAGTTGCTTTTCGGGACTGCTGATGGACATGTGTGCAAAATATATCGGGGAAGGGTTGGGTTAGTTTTGGGTTTAAGGTTGGGTTGATGCTGATGGACATGTGTGCAAAATATATCGGGGAAGGGTTGGGTTAGTTTTGGGTTTAAGGTTGGGTTGAGACTTGGGGACCCAGACATTTGTCACCTCGGGGAAGGGTTGGGTTAGTTTTGGGTTTAAGGTTGGGTTGAGACTTGGGGACCCAGACATTTGTCACCTATCTATGGCGAAGGGTGAGCGCCAGTCGCGTTTTGCAACTGTCTCTAGACTTCCTCATAATATATTGTCCTCTTCATTATGAAGATGTGCAAAAATAAATATAGGCTCATAATAAGTGAAGGACTGACAAGGTACATTTTATTCAACTGAGCTTATAGTCACCACTCCTTTTTAACTCTTTCTATAGCTCAACCTTAGTTGTACTTTTGTTGGACTCCTTTGTTAATGATTGGTGGGACACATAGAACCTACAACATGGAGGGCACTTCTCTCAGCCAAAACTAGGCTATCCGAGAGAGCCACACACTCACTCTGTTCCTCTTTCTTTCATTCCTTTCTCTTTTTTAATTGTGTATATACTGTAGTTTATCTATCTCAAGACAATTTAAAGAGATCAGATTTTGTTGTTTGGTTTCAAGGATGTAGGTGCTTGATTACAATTGTCACTGACTTCAAGAAAGAGTTGGGGTATACTTTCTTTCTCCACCTTTAGAAATTTGTCAAATTGAGATTCACTTTTTGATAACAAGACTGCACATCAAATTTTGTTGCTTACATGGTTGTTTTTAGCTTCACTGAATGTTGGATCATTCTGAGGGCAGAAGGATTACCAATATTTCTATGAAAATAAAATGTTTTTGAACAGACCAATCAGCTGGAGTAGCTCAATTGGTTAGAGCGTGTGGCTGTTAACCACAAGGTTGAAGGTTCAAGCCCTTCCTCCAGCGCATCGCTTGTTTTGTTTGTTCCTTAATTTAATACTTTCATCTATCCCATTAACTGTTCACTTATTATTTTAACCTATGTTTTCAGTCTACCTCATTGGTTTGTTCTGGTCAATATGTGTGCGCGTCCAAGTTTAACACTTATAAATATGTTAGTCATCACTCACCTTGAGATGCCAGATGAATTATATATGCTCCTTTTGGCTGGAGCTCATAATCTCGAGATCTTTTTACTAAATTCAAATTTTGTTCAAATATGAATAACAATCTTCATATTAAGTCACATACATAAGTTCATATGAACATATCCATGACTGTATGTAGATTTTGTCAACTATCATTTCTAAGGTCCAATGACCATGATGAATATGAGACTCGTGTCTGTGTCACTTGTAGATAGTCACTTTTCTGTTGAGGAGGATGGTGTTGCTCGATGTGATGAGACTCGTGTCTGTGTCACTTGTAGATAGTCACTTTTCTGTTGAGGAGGATGGTGTTGCTCGATGTGAAATTTGATTATCTAGGACAAACATTATATAGTCACTTTTCTGTTGAGGAGGATGGTGTTGCTCGATGTGAAATTTGATTATCTAGGACAAACATTATCGAGTACTCTTGTTGTTTATAAAATTGACAATCATGTTCCTGAAGCAGTCCAAAATTTGAGGATTGGTTGCAATGGATTCTTTATTTGGGAGATCCATGTGATACATGTATCTTATTTCCTGCAAGATTTTTTTTTTTTTGATTTTGCATGTAGGGTCATGCTGGCATGCATGGTAAGGTTTAGGGCCTTAGGCAAATGTTTACCCTCTGATATATTCCTAAATAGCTCAGGACTGGAAGTATCTTGTGTTACGTTCAGATAGTATTTTAATGCTTATTACTATAAATTAGAAGATAAATGAGAATTCACATAGTTAAAGAATTGCCTCATATTGCCTGCCCTCTAAGTTCGTACTTCATATCATCTATCTTATATTACTAGAATAGTGTTAACGTTTATTATATTTCTTATGTTCATGAGTCACAGGAAGCCTTTGGTCGGGTACCTAGACATGCATGGTTTCTAAAAAAAATATCAACCTAAAATTTTAAGAGCCTATTGTCTATCTTGCCTTCTTTGATGTGTTGATGCAGACCTACAAGAACTTCACATCTGAAGCGGATGAGGTAAAAGTTATATTATAGTTTCTCGGGAATGACTTATGGTTTTTTTCTTGTTTAAACTGAGAAGTTTTGTAGAAGAGGCTTGTGTATAATCTTGATGACGAGCTCATTATTCAACGAGGGAAAGGCCAAGCAACAGAAGAAGACAGCTGAGAAGATTGTTAGGGTCGATGTGGTGTTTTTCTACAGTTCAATCATAATCATAGTCATAGCCAAGTCTCTAATTCTGTGCTGGATTCAAATTTTAGGGTCATTATGGGGAACAGCGTGTTTAAGAAAAAGCCCTTTCAAATAATAGTTTAGGGTACTCCATGGCAGAGCATCATCAACACCACCCATGTTCAAGTGTCTTGTCTTTTTTCTTCAAAATTCAAATCTTGGGTTTCCTAGGTTCATCAACACCACCCATGTTCAAGTGTCTTGTCTTTTTTCTTCAAAATTCAAATCTTGGGTTTCCTAGGTCGAGATCGTGTCACTCAGTGACCAGATGCTGTCTTTTTTCTTCAAAATTCAAATCTTGGGTTTCCTAGGTCGAGATCGTGTCACTCAGTGACCAGATGCACGGCGGTAGCACGATGTGTTCCGTGTTTTTTTACAACAGATTGAAATATGTTTTCACTTTTCTTATATAAACCCTGGTAATTTTTTCACTTATTTTCTTGAAAATGTTTTCTTGCTTTTTTTTGTTTAGATTCTGTGTGAGTTGTGGTTGTGTTTTATAAAATTCGGCTGGAGATATATAATTTAATATCTGTTGGTGCAAAAGAACTAACCGGCCGAGTTGAGGTTTTGGTTCCATATAGCACTAAAGTTTGTATAACATGCTGAAATAACCTGCACAGAAGAAAGAACTGGTTTTGGAGCACGACATGTATGGAAATTTTTTGTAGTTTTTAATATTGAATGTTGCATTAAATGGTTATAAATTGTTGCTATGTATGAAAATCTTTTTGTAGTTTTAAAATTGAATGTTGCATTAAATGGTTATAAATTGGCAGTGAAGTTTACGTAAGAGAGTAATAAATACAATATTATGTGGAAAAAGTCTAACATCAGTCGCTTTTCGCGACTGCTGGTGGACAATTGTGCGAAATATACTAGGGAAGGGTTGGGGTTAGTTTTGGTTTAAGGCTGGGTTTAGATTTGGGGACATGTGTCACCCGTCCATCTATGGAGAATGCAAGCGGCACTTGCGTTTTGCAACTGTCTGTAGAAGTTCTCATATTACATGACCCTATTCATTCTTCAGTCTTAAGATGTCCAAAAATTAATATATGCTCATAATAAGTGAAGGACCGATAATGTACATTTTCTTCAACTGAGCATATAGTCGCCACTTCTTTAACTCTTTCTATAGATCACCAATAGTTGTATTTTGGTTGGACTTCTTATTTGTTAACGATTGGCGAGGCACATAGAACCTACAACATGGAGGGCACTTCTCTCAGCCAAAACTAGGCTGTACAGAAGAGCTCTACACTCACTCTGTTCCTCTTTCTTTCATTCTTTTCTTTTTTTTAAATTGTGTCTGTATTGAAGTTTAACTAGTCGATCTACCTGAAGATAATTTTGAAAGATTGTAGTTTGTTGTTTGGCTTCGATGATGAAGATGTTTGATTAGAGTTGTTGCAGACTCCAAGAAAGAGAATAGTTTCGAGTATAATTTTAACTCTCCACCTTCAGAAATTCGCCAAATTGAGATTCACTTTTATGATAACAAGACTGCACCCGTCAAATTTTGTTGCTCTCATGATTGTTTTTAGCTTTAATGGATGTTGGATCATTGTGAGGGCAGAGAATTACAAATACTTCCATGAAAATATAATGTTCTTAAACAGAACAGTCAGCTGGAGTAGCTCAGTTGGTTAGAGCGTGTGGCTGTTAACCACAAGGTCGAAGGTTCAAGCCCTTCCTCTAGCGCAATACTTCTTCTTTTTTTGTACTTTTAATTGAATACTTTAATTTAGTCCATTAGCTACTTCTTAACCTTATGAAATAGAACTCTAATCTTGAATGATAACTAAAAGTAGGAGGTTTTTCTTATCAACTAGAAGGCTAGGTGGTGGAACTGGTCTTGGCCTAATACCTAAGTTGGCAGATAGCGTAGCACATATACAGGGCACCATAGAGGAAGGGTTGGTTTATACTGCACTTGTGTTGTGATCTACATGAACAAATATTGGCTGCGATTGCAACCTGATTAAATTAGATTTGAGAACAATGACTTGTTGCTAAGGGGAGCTGAGTAGATAATCCAGTTTTAATCTTGTGTTTGGTTGCTTTCAGGATGTTATTGTGAATTGTAACGACCTATGTGCCTTTGGCCTTGTAGACCAAAACTTTGGTCATTTAGTTGAGAGGCAATAAGGTTCTATTTCTTAAGCTTTACCTAATCATGATTTTTTCTCACCCATGCTATAATTTGATGATTTCCAGTTTTGATTGATCCCAGCCCTTCCTCTAGCGCAATACTTCTTCTTTTTTTGTACTTTTAATTGAATACTTTAATTTAGTCCATTAGCTACTTCTTAACCTTATGAAATAGAACTCTAATCTTGAATGATAACTAAAAGTAGGAGGTTTTTCTTATCAACTAGAAGGCTAGGTGGTGGAACTGGTCTTGGCCTAATACCTAAGTTGGCAGATAGCGTAGCACATATACGGGGCACCATTGAGGAAGGGTTGGTTTATACTGCACTTGTGTTGTGATCTACATGAACA